GACGTGAATGAGACTTTCTTCATTATTGGGGCAGCTGTTACATACATTTGTTTCCCCATTCCATTTGCAAGTTCTACTACTCACAGGGATCTTGTTAAGGAATGCCAACCACATCGTCATTTTTATTCGCTCTGGACCTTTCCATAACCATATCCTATTCCAAAGAGCATCTCAATTCATCAAGCTTCTACATGCAACTCTCACTAGTGAAGTTGAGTGTTGTGCAATTTCGCAATCAATTTTAAATCACACAAGTACGTAAGTGCACGTGTTAACAAGTAATAAAGTGGACGTGTGAGTCCAGATATCGTTCCCACAGAGATTAAGTAAAGCTATAGCTCTCGGTGAAGCAATCAAGGTAACAAAGATGATTTGTAATTGGCTAATGACTAAATTAACACTTAATAAATAAAGTAAACTAAGACTAATAATTAACTAACAAGAATGCAGTACCAAATGAGTTTTTTCAAACGTTTAAAGACAAACTGGGATCAATTTCCCCACTATTGCAATTTCACCAGAATGCAGTAACCATGCTACAACAATTATCCATTCAGTAATCAGAACAGTAATGCATGCAAGGGTTCTCACCAACACTACATGTATACTAAGTCCCACATCTCTATGGCCAACGAAGTTATGAATTCATTAAGTTCAAGTTTCATATAATTTTGTGGTGCAAGTGATCTCTCTACCCACAATTAACTAATTTTACTTAGTTAAACCACAATGCTTAATAATATTCAGGAATTACCTATATCTCTATAGCATAAATCCTAATTACCTTGCAACCCTCTCTCGATGAATCAACAAGATTAAGGAAAATATAACACTTTATTAAGCAACTGAAAGGAAAATCCTGTAACAAAGTTTAGGCAATACTGATTACATCACAATAAGGGTGCTCTATCACCCAAACCTAACAAGTTAGCCCATAATTGGGTGGAAAGAAACAACAGAGAAAGAATAAGATTCCATAAAGCTAAAGTAAAGAAAGCAGGGACGTTGCTGTAGCACTGCTCTCGCAGCAACCATGAGCTCCACCACTATCAACCTTGCCTCAGCTGCTGGAATAATGCAACAAGTTACTGGGTTCAATGATCTCTCAATTGAACCCCAGCTCCCTCCTTTGATCCGTTGGATTTCTCTTAACGAATCCTCAAATTCTTTCCAAGTGTTCTCCACTTTTTCTCTCTAAATTTTGCCCCTAATTGGGTGTCTCAAAACATATCAGCCATTTTTTGTGTGTGTAGTGTTCGTTCCTTTATATACTTTGACATTCTGGACTTCAATCAGCTCCTCATATCCATGCAAATCGTCACTCAAATCTGCCTTGTGATTGAATGAGATTAGAACTCTGTTTTGCCGTAGTGCTGACAGAGTATGTTGTTGCATATCTCATCAGATTCTTTCCAAATTTGTAATTCAGATTTGAATCGAATTTTTAATCGTTGATTTGATGAAGATTAGCTTGTGATTTCTTGACGTTTTTTAGCGTGTATCCAGATCAGGTCTTTGCGTACACGATCAGAAGCTTCTTCCATCAAATTGGGCTTGGATCCATAGCTTGCTGGTCATGATGTCAACAATAGGCACTGCTGACCTCATCTGCACTGCTAAAACACTGCTTTCCGATGCTATAGCATTGAGTGCAATAAAATAACAAATGCATTTAAATGTTTCCAATGCTCAAATTATATCCAAATACACATAATTAACATAATTCTCAATTAAATCATGAAATCATAGAATTCATGCATTAATCATATAAAATCAAGAGAATTATATGTAATCATATCCTCAAAACATCACAATTAAGCCAAAAATAACTCTCTTTTAGAGAGTTATCATTGAGACATGATTTTGTTTCCATACTAATCTGTCATCAGAGTTATTTGCCAATTGAATTGGGTGACAAAATACCTTAGCTGTTATATCTTCATTAAGATACTGGTTAATATAACGAGTATCCCAATATCCTTGAAGGGCTATATCTGCTATAGTTTTGTGCAATTCCAGCGCAGGAACCAAAATTTGGGTGAGGGAACTCAGACTCACATCTAGGTACAGCCAGTTGTCTAGTAAAAAAATAATTGTTTCTCTGTCACCTACTTCCCATCGAAGGCCTGAAAGGAAACGATGTCAACATTTACTAAGATCACGCCAGAGCTTTGAATCATATGACTTTGATATAATGCCTCTTCTCAAGTCTTGTTTTCTACTGTATTTTTCTATTAAGATCTTAACCCATAACTCATCTTTTTCAGTTAAAATTTTCCAAGCTAATTTGTGCATATAGGTTTCATTCTAGGCACGGAGATTGATCAAATCAAGGCTCCCTTGATCCTTCAGTTTATACAATGTGTACCATGCCACCAGATGGGCATTTCCACTACCCCAAATAAAGGCACACTAGATTTTCTCAATCTCATCACACAAAATGACAGGTAAAAGCCCATTCTACATATGAAAAGCTGGGATTGCACTTATCACAGACTTAGCAAGTGTTATTCTCCTCGCGAATGACAAACTTTGATTTTTCCATCCATCTAGCTTCTTTCTAACTCGGTCCATGATAGCAGAATAATTTAGCTTTGTGTCTCTATCTTGCTTGACAAATGAGCCTAGGTAACGACCAATGTTGCTCATACGTTTGGACCCCGTGAACTCAGTTATAGATTCTGCTACTCCTTCATTTGTGTTGGGAGAAAAGAAAATTGTTGACTTTGGAATACTTATACTTTGACCTGACATTTTGCAGAAAAGGTCCTAACACTCCATGATCATTTGTGCTTGTTCCACCGAAGCATCTGAGAAGGTGATGATATCATCTGCAAATATGAGATGGGGTACTTATGGGCCACCCCAACAAACTCTATTTGGCTTCCATTTACCATTATCCACTCTTTGAGCAATGAGATGGGATAACTTCTCAACACATAATACGAAAATGTAAGGGGATAGAGGATCACCTTAATGTATACCTCTTTAAGAAATAATGGTATTAGTGATGCCCCCATTTATAAGCACTCTAAATCTGTTTGTTGTGATAGTGGCCATAATCAACTCAACCATCCATGGAGGGAGCTGAATTTCGGTAAAAACCTTATGAACGAAGGACCAATTAAGTTTATCGTAAGCTTTCTCTAAATCAATTTTAATAACCATGGTGCCTTTCTTTCCCTTAAGCTTCAACATCATGTGGACAACTTCTTTTGTGATGATAATATTGTCCTGCAAATTTTTATTAGGCACGAAACTACTGCCTCCTTAAGTCTCCCCACTATGACTTTACTGTTCATACTCTTGTAAATTTACATTACACAAGGATATGGGTCTGAATTGAGACACGTGTGTAGGCTTATTAGTCTTAGGGATAAGGGCTATTAACGTACCATTTATATTTGGAATAGACTATGGATTCTCCAAATAAGATTGAAAAGCATTCCATACGTAAGATTGAAAATGTATTTTTCAATATGCAAGCACAGACACACTTTCTTTCGTTTCATTTTTAATTGAATATTTTGTTATATTGTAAGTTTTTTTTTTTTTTTAATGTTGTATTGTCTTTGACCCTAGTGGTTCAAAAAAAAAAAATCGTATAGAGCATATGTAAATTTGGAGGAAACACTGTTTCGGCGTCCGAGACTGGAATGATAACATTGAGGAGAATGCATGAGGAGCAGGTGTAGACTGCTCAATGCTTGAGTATTATTAATGAAGCAGACGTTGGTCATGACAATATATTCGAGGCATGCAAAATTAAGAAGTAAACGACAAAGTTGATGACACCACTGATGAGAAAATTAGCAACTCAGATTATGCGTGAAAGGAACATCAGAAGCATCCTAAGTAAATTAAGGGCAACAATCATGCACTACGCACGGCCTGACCCACGATGAGATCTAGGTGGCTTTATGCAACCCCAAGCTCTGGAATTTCCAACGTCATGGTAAATATGCAGTGTGCATTATTTTTGTTTCCCCTTCATATTTTAGATTTTTCAAATTTTTGTTGCCAGATACAATATATATACATATACACACAAGACTATTAAATGGTACAATTAATATCACATGTTTATAAAGAAAAATTAATGAACCTAACAGAGAAAGTATATATATATGGCTGTATTAAAAAATAAATAAATAAAGTGTATATGACTCGCTAATCAATCATTTTTATGATGGCAAGCTAATTGAACAACAAAAATTCATTTGATTACAGTGCACAAGAAAAGGCAGTCTTCCAATAATATCATATAGAAATTGAGGCATTATTTCAGATTTGTGCACGTAACTAACCATAGGTGCCATTACAGTTAATCAGATAAATTTTACACAGGGCACTATCAAACTCCTTCATATGATAGTAATTTTATTGTAATTTTCCTAATTCAACTCTACATCATACCCTACCCTAGCACCCTACGTAGATTCATGGTCATGGACATGCTGGTTATTTATGCTTCAAAGAAAAAGAAAAAAAAACTTTGCAATTCTCATGTCTCGATTGTATCGAAAATCTTCAAAAGTTGAACCAATCGGTCAAAGCCACAATATATTAACAACTAAAATGGAATTCAGAGAGGTCGAGGCTTTCAAACCATATGTAGGAACTTTAAGTAGTTCAATGAACTTCTGCTTAAATGACACTTGCACTACCTACTCCCGATTTTCATAATAATATTTATCTGCCAATAAAATTCTCTCCTTTGGCTGAAATATGTCAAAATAATCTCTCGGTTGCTTCTTTCACATTGCCTCCTTAGCAGCAGGTTCGTGTTTCCCTTTTTGATTCTCAAATCTTTGAATGTAATTAAAAAGAAAAAGAAAAACTAATGACATCATTTATTGAATTTGCACATCTCATTTCACCTATAAAACCACATGTTCAAGGGCAACCTCTGCTATGTTCATAACTTAGCTTTTCCTTGAAAGTGGACACCTATTACATATCTATTCTTTGTGTTGGAACATTTGTTGTGCCTCTGCATTATGGGCAGGTCCCCATGTTGTGACGAGAGAAGTGTAAAGAAAGGGCCATGGACACCAGAAGAAGACGAGAAGCTTATTGATTATGTCAGCAAACATGGCCATGGAAGTTGGGGAACACTTTCAAAACGTGCAGGTCTTAATAGGTGCGGTAAGAGCTGCAGGCTAAGATGGACAAACTATCTGAGGCCTGATATCAAGAGAGGGAAATTCACTGAAGAAGAAGAGCGAATTATCATCAACCTACATTCAGTTCTCGGAAACAAGTATGTATCTTTGGTTAATATGTGTATGTTATTTCTCCAAAACCCACTCGGTTTGAGTTTTTTGTGTTTAGGATTTGAACTCGAGAACTCTGATTAAGGAGAAGTAACTTGTTACCACTTGAATCAATAGATTTTGATTGTTTGCTTACTATATGGACAAGAATGTTAAGGAGTTTAATTAATTGAAAACTATATATATAATATTTCCTTTTATTTATTTTTTTGTAGGTGGTCAAAGATTGCAGCCCATCTTCCAGGAAGAACTGATAATGAGATCAAGAATTTCTGGAACACCCTCATAAGGAAAAAGCTTCTCAAGATGGGTATTGATCCAGAAACTCACAAACCAAGGACTGATTTCAATCACCTAATGAATCTTTCTCAGTTGCTTGGGATGTCAAACTTGGGAAATGCTATGAGTACTACTTGGGGCAACCCTCTTGGTTTACATGCAGATGTCACTCAGCTAGCCAATATACAGATGTTACAAAATATGTTGCACATTATGAACAGCAATTCATATGTCAACATGGGTAACCCTTACCTCTTAGGCAATCCCAGCCTCAACCCATTCAATGAATTTCTCAATGGAACAAACACCCTCCAAGCTAAGGAACCTGTTGTCTTGAGTGGTGAAGAATATGCAAACCCTGGTCTATACTCTCAAGCACAAAGTGAGTCCTCTCTGCAGGATATTTCAAAATCATGGGCAGATGCAGAAGGTGGATCTCATCCACAAGATCTTGATTACAACAAAATTAGCAGCACTTTTGAGAATCAAGCAGAAAATCCATTGCCTGCATTAGTTGCTTTCTCTCCAAGAATCAAACAAATGGACAATGGTTATAATAACACAGCTCAAACGTCCACCCAGTCAACTTCCAACACAATCTTTGATGACTGGGAGAAGTTCCTTGATGAAGAAACAAACGGTTCCTACTGGAAAGAGATTCTAGAGTAAGTCCCTATATATATATATATATATATATATATATATATATGTCTTCCATGCATTTTTTTTACCTTTTTTTTTTCGGATAACCTGATATTTCCTTTTCATTTTGCAGATTGACATCCACTTCTGCGTCACCAATATCGTGGTAGAGGAATCATTGGTTCTCTTTCAGGATAATCAACTTATGGATCACATACTCAATAAATTTGTAGTTTTATTCCTACATGGTTTTTTTATTCAGATTCATTTCTAAATTTATGTATGAGAGGTCATATAACTGTAGTTTCTGTACAAAACAGAAAGATATACATGTATACTTATTTGGAGATTTGCAAATTATATATCTCTAGTTTATTTTATGTGACTTGTACTTTACTATATTTGGTTCTATTGATATCTTTTTCTAAATAAAACATATTGTACTTAGAATGCAGAATTCTAAGGATTTCTTTCAATATCTCTTTCTGAACTTATGATGGACTTGGGACCATATATGAGTTAAGTAGTATATTTGCTTTGCTGCTATGAAAACGAAACAAATCCAAAATCGTCAAGATGTTCTTTCTATGCATTGATGGCCTAATTAATTAATCCATGAAGTTAAGCTTTTGACTTTTGGTATATAATGCGTAAGTCAACCTTGTCGCCACAATTTCTCGCAAGCTAAAGAAATTTTGCTATGTTAAGTATCACATCAAATGATGAGCACAGAAGATAGATGCTAATAATCTATATGACAAAAATGACAATTTGTTATTGGAATTACTCTATACGTTTAGATTCCAGACCAACCATTAGGTCAGATTTGTTTACGTCTGGAACAAGGTAAAATGAATGCCGCAAAAAGCCACATCCAATGCAACCACCCTTTTGTTTTCAAGTTCACTGAAGAAACTGCTTCCTTAAGATAATGTTTTAGGTAGACGATATAACGCAACTTATGATTAATCTAGGACACAACACGAGTAATCCTCCCTTCAAAAGCTTTAACTTCTAGAACGAATTGACTTTATACACTGTCCGGTAATTGATTCTAACAAGAAATCTCATCTTTTCTATGTCATGTTCATGTAAAAGCAAAATATAATGGCGTATGAATAGTATTTAGGGCTTTATTAATCTCATGTCTCTCTTATGTCATAGAGATAGTTATGAGTGAGACCCACTCACTTAAAGAAAAAGAAAAAAAGAAAAAAAAGCAACACGGAAGTCAATGTATGTGTAGGAGAAAAAAATACTCTCCTACAGCATAAGATAATATTTTCCCTAGTATTTAACGGTGAGATTACAAAAATAGTATTTAACTATGTGAATAATTAGTGCATAAATATTTCGATATGATACTGTACAAAAGAAGAAGATGATGATGATGATCTAACTATCATGTAGAAATGTGTAACTTTTTGTACAAGTGAATTTTTCTAATAACATTACCCAAAAACAAAACACTCACCTTCTTTCTTGATAAAAAAAGGAAAATATTACTCTCATTTTACATGAGGTAGTTATCTTCTTTTCTTTCACTTCAAAAATCGTGCTCCTTCTTTTTTTTCTTTTTCTTTTTTGCTTTTAAATAGCGGACCCTACTTGGATTCTCTCTGTAACATGAAAGAACTACTCTCATGTTACATGAGAGTAATATTACCCTAAAAAAAATTAAGCTAAGTTAGATATTAATCTATTACCCTTTTTATAGGGAAAGTTTTTATAAGCTCACAAACTACACTATATTCTAAAGGTAGTACATTCCAAAATATAATGTACTACCCCTAATACTTTGTAAGAGTTTGTAAAAAACAAAAAATTTATAAATATAACTCTCACTTTTTTTATATCCAAAAGAAATCTATGTATCATAAGCAGGCATATATATTTCGGAAACATTTCCCAGCCATAAACATTGAACAAATTCTTTTAAGAAAAACCCTTCATCCCAAACTTCGGAAATTAAATTAAAAAAATTAAAATGAAATGCACCTAAAAATAAATAAAAAAACACTGTCATATAAAAAAGCACCAGAAATGAACTTACATAAAAGCTACCCAAACGGCTACGCAATCTTTGAAGCCACTGTCAGGTATACTCATGTCATCCTAGTCCCAGCCAACAACGCACGACCACCGTCACCATGGACTCCATTCTCTGCCACCGTTCTGTCACGAACCTCGCCACTCTAAGCCACCCTGTGAGGCTGTGGGCCATCGTCAAAAGCCACGAACCAAAGCAAATATACCTAGAGTTAGATCGGGACATTGACCATATTGTCCTCTTCGAATATAATATACCTAAATGTCATGACACATGTCACATCCCAGCGGCTGGACACGTAACTCATTCAACCCAAAGTCGCTTCATAAGATAACTACTTTGGTGCAACCATGCCTGCAAGTTGTTGTAGACGTGACACGTGTCCCGTCCATAATAGCTGACTACCTCAGCGACAGCGACTATGGTGTCGTGTCAGTTTGAAAAAAAAATATTCAACTACGTAGCATATTATATTCAAAAAAAGGCAATACGGTCAATGTCCTAGATAGAACTATCAATATGGGTCCGTCCATCCTATTAGGCCCTAGCTCGTATGAATTAGGGTCAAAAAGCCCATCAAATAACCTTCAATATTGAAGATTCCCACCGCCTAAATATTCTATGAACTAGGGTCAGCTCGCGGGTCATCCAAATTTATAATTTCATAAAATTTTATTTTTTTTATCATATTTAATACATTAAAATTTATTTCAACAAATAAATATTTAACACTTTCATAAAATATTTTTACAAATTATAAATTTTTATTATTTAATTTTCTAATTAAATAATATTTGTACACAAATATACAAATAAAAATATAACAATTTTAATATATGTAAAAATTTAGTTACTACCTTTATCAAATTCGTTGTTAAAGGATGTCATCAAATAAAGAATTTCTCACAAGGATTCAAAAAAGAATAAAGTAACTCCAATGGAAAACCAAAAGTAACGAGAAAGAAGAGAAAAGAGACAAAGGAGTAAGGTAAAATTTCTCATTTCAGCAACCATTTCCAATACAAGCATCGTCAATATGTAAAATTACAATCATGAAAGGGAGAATAATGCTACGTTAGTGTGGTGGTTACGGAATCATGAATGGGGGACAATTGCACCATTAGTGCCAACAGTTACATAATTCAAAAGTTTGTACTTTTAAAAGATATAACTTATGTCATTTTAGCAATTTATAACTATGTATAAAAGGTATATTGTAAGAACCCGCACCGTTAATTAATGAATTTAATTAATAAATTACGAGAAAATAGGAAATGATTCCATAATTGACCCTAATAATTATTATGAGGCTTTAATAATTATAGTAAGTGAGTAATAATGCTGAAAGTCGCTTTTCGGAAGCAAAGTGCAGATACCGGTTCTGCTAGTCGGTATAAATGCGTGCCGAAAAAGTATCCCGAAAAATTATAATAAGTTCATGACAATTACTAGAATAATATTTAGGACTTGTAAAACGAGTTTCAAGTCCAGATAATGAGAACTGGTGCTGGAAACCGGTACTGGCTTGAAAAAGCGCGTACCGAAAAAGTGCTCAGTAAATTATAAGAAAAATATGATAAATCTTAGAAAATTATGTAGTTTCAGGATCCAAAGTTTGGGATTAAAATGTTAAGCGTAGCAATTAAAGTTAATACTGTGTGTTTAAGTGGCTTGGGCTATAAATACCCATTTCTAAGGGCACAATGCCCTAGAAAACAGATTTTGAACGTGAGAGTTAAGGGTGGCTGATCAGCTTGGCTGACTTGTGGGGTTTCTTCTCCATTTTGGGTCCAAGACACTTCCTTTCTTGATTTTTCTTCACACTTTCACTTGGGATACACTTGGTGAGGGTGAGAGCTAGCTTTGGGACTCCATTGCTGGTCTTTTCTGAGTTGAGAGAGCTGCTATGTGTGAGGTTTTGAGGCTGACTTCGGTTGGTTGTTTGTGGGAGACTTTGTTTTGGCATTGTGAGGTCCAAGAAGCTTCCTTTGTGTTGAAAGGTCCAAGCTTGTTGATCCATTTTCGTGCACCTTGTTGAGTCAGTCTTGGGGGGCTGATTGTGAGCTCCAAAGAGCAACCTCTTCTTCTGTTTTGGCCTTTGGTATGTATACCAACCTTTAATCATGAGTTTAATGCTTAAAAATGAAAGCTTGATGCATGTTAAGGTTAAAAGATGATAACTTGTTGTTGGGTGAGGCTTAACACATCTAGAAATGCATGATTAGGTGTTTAAAATCGGTAAAAAGGGAACCTTTAAGGGATATCTTCACGAAAATGCAGAAACTGCATTCTGTCGTGAAATATCCGGATATTTGTCGAACTGATATCCGGATATTGGATATCCGGATACGTGGTTTTGGGATATCCGGATATCCGGATATTTTGGGATTTCGTAGAACAGTAGCTGTGCTGGGTGTACAGTAGGCTATTGGGGGTTTGTGGACCCTAGATTGCTGAAGTTGAACTGCTGTAATTAATGAACTAAGTCAGAATCAAGTGATTAAGGGCTTATGGCTTGGTGAGAAGCCTTAAGACATAAAGCGTAATGAAAAGGCGTTTTCTTAATATTGTATGCTTGTGGTGCATATTGTTGATATATTGTTGGTCCATAACAGATTGTGAATCTGCTGTGTTTGGACTTTGAGCTGTGGACTCTTGGCTTTTGGAGTTAGCTTGCAAGGTAAGCTTTCGTGTCCTCGGTTTAGCCATGTTGTGGTTCCACCATGTCCCATGGGGGTATGGTTTATGCATGTTGTGTACATGCTTTTGAATATTTGATATGTTGATTGAACTTTACATGTAATGGCTTTTAATATGCATGTGTTGTTTCATCTTGACGGGAAGCCTGAGTATGTAGCGCCATACAAGACGGTGTACCGGGGTGAATGCAAGTGGTACTTGCACGGTGTGTAGGTGATAGACGTATACTTGCACTGTCTCTGGCCAGTAGATTAGTATTGACACACATGGCATGATT